AAAAAGGACTCCATAAATTCTTACACCAGTGTAAGCGACTAACTCAGATAAATACAGCTAAGAATTTCATTTACCTGATAGTTTGATATAATCTTTTGTCGGTATTCTCTATGCCTCTGAATCTGATAATTCAAATGCATGAAATTGTGGTAAGAGAATAATTCAGATGAGAAAAGTAGTATTTGGGACACCACAAGAAGAAAATACATAGAAACATCACAACTTCTATTGGTTAATGAAATAAGTAATGTAACTTCCATTGGTTATTTTTTAAAAACTTAAAGTTTCATGTTTCTCTAATTCCAATACTATCAATCAACGCATGGTAGGGAGCCTGAAATGACGCCCAGCAGCTTATATTTTTAAAATTGGTTATAATGTAGTGAAAATATTTATAGCCCGCCAAAATGCATACCACAGAAGACAAATAAGCCAGCATTCATGTCTTTGCACATTGAAACTCAATCACATCATGTAATATGACAAGCACAGTATACTACAACATCGCTTTCAAGTTAACATGCTTTGCTTTGCACCGCACCAGCATGGAAAATGTATATTTCTAGAAGCTAATGACTAAAGGTTGAGGATCATGCTGGGTAACTACATTTAATCACTGGAAAGAGATGGGTGAAATAAGCCATTCTTGAAAGATATTCAAGCACCTGGCTTCAAGAAACCTGTTGCAACTGGATATTATCACATAAAGAATGATAAACCATCTGGTGGAAGAACAACTGGAAGGACACTCGATCATTCAGCTTTTTCAATGCCAATATTTAGATAAGCACAAGGGAAACCAATTTACAAAAGCTCCTAAGCTTCAAAACGAGGTGCAGCAATGAATGAGTGACACACATCATACATTAAGAAGTTTCCAGATTATATTCATAAATGATGGCTATTTTAAGCCGGAGTATAGTCAACTATTAAATTTATCCTGCATAAGCAAGCAATGTTTTTTAGACTCAAAATCTAATTTAAGGAAACAAGCTTCTAGCTAGCATGAAGATGAGAGGTGCATTGAGACTAATATCCATATATGATAATTTTTGTAAATGCAAGGTAAATTACATTTGCAACACGTTGTGAATTTGAAACTGAAATTTCTTTTAATAAAAATAATAATAGCAATCATAATTTAAAAGTGTTCAGACCAATTTAGACACACATTGATTATCTTACAATATAACTACCTAACCTTACAACGTTAGAGTCAGAGAAGAAAAGACTTGAGGATATTTTACATTCAAGGTGCATAACTACCAATGTTTGCACTCATGACCATAAGGGCATCAAAGTTTAAAGCTTCAAAGACAAGGATTTTTAAATCAAATGCAATAAGCTATACAATAGTAGGCATATAGATGTCTTTATTTGGAAAGCTACTCTGATGCTCTTTGATATAGTCAAGAGATAATGAACGAAAACATAATATTTCAATTAAATGCACTCAAGAAAAAACCTAGAGTTCGTGTTTCTTAGGCACAAAAGTAAACAAACAAAATAATAGATGAATTATTGCTTTTTGACAAAAGAAATGAAGAAAAAGGAGCTACAAATGAAGAAAAGGCTTAGTGAATGACTCTTACAAGCAAGAAAAATAACAAACATGTTAGAGTGTTCACAGAAAACGTATTTGAAAAATTGTGAACCTTAATGGGCAAACGCAGAAGTGAAATCAGCTTGCCAGCATGCAACACACCAAAATGCCGCACTCAAATAAAAATGTATCAGAAGCTAAGACAAAATAGTTGGTTAGGACATGGGAGTTTACCTAGAGTCCAAGCTAAAAAGTACCCTGTAGGTATTTTCATGCTCGTGATGTACTTTTAATTGCAGTCTTTCCTGTTTCTTGTTATTGGATCTCAGTGAAAGTCGTGTTTCTTATATATTCAAAATATGGAACAAGTAGAGTTCTTTTAAGTTAAAATCCGCAGATGGTATGATTAACCAAAAAGAAAAGAAAAGAAAAGAAAATCGAAGCCCCATGTTTGGAAGTAGCAAAAAGATCTTCCAAATTGAGAAAACAGAGTTGAAATGATGAGTTAAAAGGGTATGAAATTTAAACCATGAAAGCGCTAAAATGGACATGGGACATTATTTATCATGATATAAAATTAAGCCGAGTTGATTATGATACTTATCTGGAAGAAAAATTATTCAAAAAGGGGTAGCACTATTTGTTTTTTGTGAATCATTCTTATATTATGGTCTGTTTTTAAGATAAAATAAAAGAAGAAAGAAATACACACACTTGATATATATTTCCTATTTTCCATTCTATACTTCAAAAGGAAATTTGGACGGAGTTTGAGGACTGAATCTTCTGAGCAGCATCCACCTGAAGTTCACTACTTAACTTCAAGCAATGATTCCCTTGCTACTAATCATCTACCTAGAGCGCCTGTTAGTAAGCTCTATTGGGCCTTTCAATCCTTGGAAGGAATATTTCTCTTTATTCATACTTCGCTTACTTTCTCCATTTTTGTCTCAATAAAATCTAATCCACTGTTCTGGAAATACTTCCAAGAAACATGGAAGTAATCAAATATAGAAACAAGATACAGGAATAGACCTTGCCTTCCCAGACCAACAGAAAGAAACCCCAACGAGTAATGAAGTACAAACATTGACACTTCCTCCTTGCTTTCATCAAAATTGCGTAAAAAATTCAAGATCATCGACTAACTAGCATAAGAGAAATTTGACAAATACTATCCTCATTTTTACTTGGCATATTAACATCAAAATCTAATTAGTCATGCTATTAATAAATCTACATATTCAAATAACTATGTTCCCGCCTTCTGATTCACCATCGCATAACAATGAAAATAAAAATCTTAATCCTTATCCTGCAAACAACGTCCAACTAACAATTCATAAGATCATGTGGCATTTGCTATCATTGATTTTAACCTATAAAACAATTTCTAGAAAATATAACCTATCTTCTCTTCCTCCTCCTCCATTCACCAGCCAAACCAAGCAAACATGTATTGAAATTCACCATAGATATAGAGAGAAAACAATTTAAAACACTTACGCGGTTGCGTTCGCCCTCAGGAGCATATCGGAGTAGAATGTCCCTCATATACTGAAGCTTAAGGTCGCGTGCCATATTGAGCATGCTCGGAGGCAAGTGCCTTTCCAGCATGCTGAAGAGAAGCGGGCTGAATTCCAATTGCAGGTCCTCATAGCTCTCCGACTTGTGATCTTCCTTGGGTTGAAGACGAAGCCTATGGGTTGAGAAAGAGTGTGAGCTGGGCGAGACGACGCCATTTCCATTGCCAGTCCCGGGAGCTTGGGGCTGCTTTCGTCGTTCAAGAGAAGCTTCCAGAGACATAGCTTCGCATCTGTAGAGGTCAAATTCCTTTGAAGGAAGAATTACAGAAGCATGTTTTGTAATGAGAGTGTGAGAAGTGGATTGAAATTAGGGTTATGAAGAGGAAGAAGACGAAGATGGTGAAAGTTGCAGGTTAGGGTTAGGCTCTATTTCGTTAGTTGCTGACGTGTACATGTGGGACCCAACCCAATTATCCTCCAAATTTTTATCAAATTTAAAGATTTTATTTAAATTCTGGAAACGACCCACTTTTCTTTCCTTTGTTATTTTAAAATATAATTTCCATTTAAAATATAATATTTTAACAACCTACCCTTTCAAAAACAAAAAAACTAATCTTTTAACTTTCTATATTTATATTTATATTGTGTCTAATGCGTTGTACCGGATGGTAATTTATAAGGCGCAGAGTACATATATGAGCCCGCTTGTTGGGTTCATGTGTGCATACGTAGGCCATGTATGCCCATAATACTTCTTTATCCAATCTTAGATCCTAGTCTTAAATCGATCCTAAGTACTCTTGGGTCCAAGATTCTAATATTTAGGACTCGAAAGAAAGACGTTATAATCTTACTCTCTTTGAATCCTACTGACTTTGATAATCACTCTAAATTCTTACCAAAAAAAAAAAACTCAATTTATTTTGATTGGCTTCGATTAAATCTGATTTCATAGATGCGAGATTTAAACGTTTGGTTAACAAATTAGAGTAACACATCGGAATTGTATCGGACCCATAAAGCACAAATTTTATAATTAATATTGGAATGATACTCGCGTTTGTAGCCGCCTCAAATAAAAGCAATAATTTGGTAATATAGGAATTATCGACAGGGACAGTTCGGCAGCACCTCACTTGCATCGTCTCATCATCGCCCCCGGCGGACTTACCAATACGAAGCGTTTGCTGTTCACTTTTTAAAATACCAACTTTGGTCAATCGCGCTCACCGCGATCCATCCACCAACCTACCTCACTACGAACCAATTATTATTTTTCTTTCCAAAATCCCACAATAAAACCACCCCCACAACCCAATTCGATTCTGTGGGTTGTTTTTTTTTTTTTTTTTTTTCCTC